TATTCGACGATTTGTTTGATTCCGATCCCATCTGATCTAACGAACAGTTACATTTGTGTACCAGTCAGCCACATGGGCTGGGTAAGAAAAAGGCCATCTTTTTTTCTCCTTTCCATCTCTTGATGTTGTGCTGCCACAAACTGTTCAAAAAAACAGAAAAAAAGCGTTTTGAAATTTAGAAAACACTTTCTTTCTGTCTTGTGTGTCTGTTGGGGGGGGGGGGGAGGAGGAGGGGGACACTGTCAAAACTCCAGAGATTTATCCAGATGTAACCTCACTCACATAACAACATTTTAGGCACACCTGCACTAAGGACTTTTTCAACAGATTTCTGTACGTAATCGCAGTCCGGACGACATAAAAATGATAATACTACTGGTAGTTGCAGTCAGGACGTTGCTTGCGGCCAGAGGAGTCCGTTCTGATCATCATGGCTGTCTCTGGACTTCAAACCACGAGTACTTGCCCCGGCTATCGGTGGTGGAAAAAGAATAGAGCAGAAACATTTCTAGTCGGATGAATTTGGGCGCTCCTGTAGTGGCCGGTACGTTTCCTAGAATTGTGGCTGGCTTGTTAACGGGCACGATCTTAGGAAGTACTTACTGGTGGTTTGAATGTTCCGCCAGGTACATCTGTAGTGACGGGGCGTTCCGTTCGGGTGAAAATGGGCGAGCATACTCTTAGTGGAGTGACGAAGTCGGATCGGTTCTTTGGAATGGTTGTCCCAGATAGTGGACAGAAAAATGATGATGTGCCTCAAGCCAGATCACTACCTTGGGGGGCTCACTTGTGGAACCTGTAGAATTTTCCCACGGGATCGGAGCGTTCGTCACGTGGGTTGGGGCAGGCTGAGGCCGGAAGGCTCGTTTGGTCAGGACATGAAGAGGTATTTTTTTCCGGTCTGTGACAGCCTCATCATCCATTTTGGTGTGACGATCGAGCAGGATTATTCAGGAATTTAGGGGCACATGAAGTGGGTCCGATTGTTTTGTTCTTGATTTCTTACTTGCTGTGGCCAAAAAAAAAAAAACAAAAAAAAACTGTGGCCATCTTTACAGTTCATGTTAGCAGGCAGAAGAGTATTTTGGATTTTTTTTCAGCGTATCCATGGCGTGTATGCTTTTTTAGCTTCTGGAGGGTGTCTCAATCAGTATTCTCTGAGGGAGGGGGAGGAGGAAACAGTTAGAAAAATGTGACAATGTGACAAATGTGGGGGCGAAATTGGCCCAAATAAAGGACGCCATGAAGAGCCAGTGATCTCCTTTTCAGATCTCAGTACCCCAATGATAGGAAAACAAATATGGGCCCGAAAATGGGCCAAATAACGGACGTCATCCCACAAGGACCCTTAACCTTCAAAAAAAGGTCCAAAGACAGCGCCAGAAGAGCCGGTGATATCCTTTTCAGATATCCCTACCCCAATGATAGTTTATGAAGTAAAGCAAATAAACAGAAATGGGGAGCTAGACGGACCATTCTCGCCACACAAGAAGACCTGGATCTTCAACTACCCTGATCTCAACTGGTTAGAAGTATAGCAGTGTTTCAAGATGCGAAAAAGAACCGTCGTCGGTATATGAATCAAGTGTTTCAATCAGCAGCCAACCCTTTCACCCAAGGGAATGGGCATGAAAGGCTAGAACCCAAATGCCTGTGTGTGGGAACACATGGGCACATGGTGGTATAAAGGACATCATCACCCGTAAACAAAGGAAGTCCTGATGGAAAGGTGGGTGGTTGAGGGACTCTCCCTACAAAGAAGGGACTTTGAGGGTTTCTCTTGGCCTAAATACACTTCGCTAATGCCCACCAACCTCATCCAATTGCAGGACCTACACAGATGCCTGTCAACCCCGACTGGATAGCCTCTCACGTAAAATCGGGAGCGGAAGGGGATTCTCTCTATCTCGTTTTGTTTGCTTCTATCGTGGTACATCCTCCCCTCCAGCGAGACCTAGGCATCCCTTGCGTACAAAAAAAAATGAAATTTGTTTTCTACGGGCGCGTTGTACTCTGTTGTACGGTGGTTGTGCTCTGAGTTGTACTCCGTTGTAGTCTACCCGCAGCGCAGCACCACTTTATATATATCGTCACAAACAGAACTGCCCGGTAAACCGTAGGCAGAGAGAGAGAAGAGGACAACAAACGAGGGGCTGTGACAAACTGTTTCGTCGGAGTTTCACCGACTCATCAGGAGGCTGAACCCTCA